ATTTAATTTTTGCGTGATGTCTGGAAGGGAGATCATCACAAAATTTAGCCAATGAAATCAAACTTCCATCATGCTATGAATGATGTCAGTTCGAATAATAAATGAATGATGATGTCAATTCGAATAATAAATAAATGATGTCAATTCGAATGATAAACGAATGATACAATTCGAATAACAAAGAATGAAACAATTCGAATAATAAACAAATGAAACAATTCGAATAATAAACGAATGATACAATTCGGATAATAAACAAATGATAAAATTCGAATAATAAATAATAATTTGAACAAAAATTTTTATTACGAATAGAAACTCAACTCTATTGCAGAGTCACTAAATCTGGCACAATAATGTTCAAGCTAAACTAAAATATGCAACTACACTACCTGAGGCGTCCCTACAAGCAATATAGTAAAACGAATAAAGGGTTCCTAACTAATAATTAAATGTTGGCCAAACCATTAATCATCAGAAAAGGTTATGAATCAATCAATCATGCCAGATTTATCAATTAATGGAAAGTGTTTATTCTTATTACCAAAGTGTTATTATTAAAAGATCAATTATTTTTAAATTTTTTTACTGAAGGAAATTTCAAGCATATTTATACTTCTTGAAGCATTACAAATAACATGATTTTGTCCGGTCCCGTTTACTTCGTCGAAAATCATTTCGACGAAATAAACTTTCGATGAAACAAACTTTCGACGAAATTGTCGATGAAATGATTGTCGACGAAATGAATCAGACCCATTTTGTCCAATAAAATAAAATAAAATAAAATAAAATGATAAATGATGACTAATTGACAATTACTAAGGTTAAATGTCAAAAATAAGTCATTGGTAATCTCATGATTAAATGATACCTGATGAAATGTTTTTGTCATAATTAACAAGATTAAAATTCCGAGTTACATCAAAAAAAAATTTTTTTTTTAATCAATTAATTCATTTGTTAATAATATTAATTAATAATATTTTTTAGACTGTTTTAGTGTAAAATATTTAATCTTCTGTATTCAGTCACAACACCTTTATTCACCTTCAGGCAATCAAAATCAAATGAAAGGATATCCAACTGGTCCCAAGAAGGAGCCCTGCTCATCACCACATATTTTCATCAATCATTAGAGTCACATGTGGCAATGTCATGCCTATGGTTTCTGGTCCAAACTGTTTTCTCAAAGCCCAAATTAGTTTGGGCAATTTAGGCTTCTCAACATTTTTTATAAGCATGAACATTAAAAAACTACAGTGTGTGAAAAAAAAACTTAACTATATGAAATTCGTCATAGATTCATAAAAATCACACCAAACCCAATGATAAATATACTATTTAAAAGCAAAAAAGTTATAGAACAGACTTTATTAGACTTAAAAATTGATTCGTTCACCATTACTTTCAATAACCAACTCACAACAGTGTTTCATTGAATTTACTAAATTATTTAAAACTGAATTTGGAATAGAATTCCATTCCTCTGTCAAAAACCTCTCCAAATCATCTAAATTTTGGGGCATTCATTTTTCAACATTGTGTTTGACAATGGCCCATAAGTTTTCTATAGGGTTAAGGTTGGGACTACAAGAGGGTCAATCCATAACCTTGGGCACATTATCAGCAAGAAATGTTTTAGCTACTCGACTTGTGTGCTTGGGATCATTATCTTGTTGAAAGCACCACTTCTTTCCAAGCATTTTATTAACTTCACCAAGATGATTTTCACCATCCATTATCTGCTGGAAGCAAAATAAAGACATCAACCCCTTTGCACAAAAACCTCCCCAAGCAAAAATTTTTCTACAATCTTTTGGCATATGACAAACTGGACATTTATCTTTATACCAATGTTCAATTGTATTCTGAAACAACTGAAATGCTGTCTCATCAGTAAATAATATTTTTTTCCGGTTGTCATTAAGGTGATGCTTGGCCCATTCAACACTGCGAGCGTGTAAATTCAATTACAGCTCGGGTTGTGTCCAATAAAATATATAA